TTAGGCATAATTCCAGCACAGATACAAATAGCGTCCACCTCGTTGTTCGTTAATGTCGCCGGTATGACCATCGCCCTGAATCTTGTCAGACAGCCACACGTTGCGCACCTTACGTATTCCGTTATACTCGGTGATAATGTACCGGTATAGCCCGCCAGTACCCAGGGCCAAATCAAAGTTGGAATTATCGAAAGGGCTGTATTGGATATTGTCATGTAGCTCTATGCGAAACCCTGTGGCAGCCTCATTGGCGTTAGAGGTGTACTCGGGCCGCAGCCACACGTACTCCCCTGCAAAGCCCATGTTTATGTCGTCATCTAGACAGTCTACTTTGTTGTTCGGGCCATAATTAACCCAAATGTATTTGACATACATTCTAGTGAATTTAAGTATAAATAAAATTTATTATTATGTAAATAATTATTTATAGTAATTTTTTAAAATCTATTTTATACTTTACATATCAATACCCAATATTGAAATCTAGGTAATAAATGATTTAATAATGTTTATAATTAAATAAATCTATAATCAAAGTACCTTTTGGTAGGAATACAGCGTTACTTATATTCAAAATTAACCAAAATTCATATACTGTTATATTTTAATGATATATTTACTATCAATTTATTTAAATTTCTGTTTCTAATGTTTCTAATCTCTTGGTTGGAAACAGAGTATAATTCTTACTTGTAAAAATATTAAATATTTAAATTAAGTTATTATATGCTTTTTGAAAATATAAATATGTATTTTAGATAAGATTAAAACCAATTGAATCATGGATTATGAATAATAAATGTGTGTTTTATATTATATTTTATAAATTGTTTATTATTGATAATCAAGATTTATTTATTAAATTATGCTATTTAAATAAATTTTAACTAATAAATAATTATATTATATTATAAAGAATCAAACCATCGGCAATTAATTTATAAAATATTTTTTATTAATTAATTATTATGTTAATTACATGAAATTTATGTGTTTTTCAAGTTTATTAATTATTTATATGATTAGCTAATTATATTTGGTTTTGTAATTATTATATTATTTATACAATTAATTCAATTAGTTACCATCATGTGATTTGTATTTATAGTTAAAAATTTGTAGTCAGGTATATTTATAAAATGTCAAATTAATAAAACATATAATAATTAATAATTTAATTAATATGATTGCCACTAATATTTAAAGCATCGCCAAAATATTATAACCATTAAAATTATAATAATATTAATAATAATAATAATAAATTAATTTTCAAATTAAAAAACAAACAAAAAATTAAAATAAAAACAAACAAAAATCAAATCAAATAAAATTCATTACAAAAAACTGTTTGACTAAAAATATTAATAATTAATTCATTAAAAAATTCAAATCAAATCACATCCAACTCTCGCTATAAAAAACACTCAATAGAAAAATGGGTCCAAAAAATAATTTAATTAAAAAATCTCTTATATTATTAAAAATTATTACGGGATTCACACCAATCATTACAACACATACACAATCAGACATACCTGTGCATTACAGCACAGGCATCCAAAATAAGTGTTGCTTTTCAAATGCATTAAAAAACACTAATAAAAAACTAGTTAAAAAATCATATGTAGTCCAGAAAAATATATGTGCGGTATTTAGGGGGTTAGGGGGAGGGGCCAAAGTATTAGCCAAACCAATCAGAAGGTTTCGGCGTCGGGACAGTGTTCGGTGTTGTGGCCAAAGCGCTCGCACTGTAGGCAAAAAGGTCGGTGCTCTGAACGCGAGGCCCTGTAGTAGGTGTGACCGCTCAGGGCTTCGCTAATGATAGCGGCGGCCGACGACTGTTGCGGACAGTCTTCGGTCTCGTGTGTGTCAAACACGTCGCAAATGTCGCAGAATTTTCGCGGCGCCCGTATGTGGCCGTTGGTGCCGGTGGGCCGACCCCCGGACTGATGGCCGTTGTTGTGTCCGTTGTTTCCGTTGCCCGACGCCGGGTTGTTGAACACGTTGCTAAAGTCGAATTCGTCCAGACCTATGCCGGGGTGATTTATGATTTGTGATTAATATACATGGTGGTTTTAATAATTAATTTTTTAATTTATTTAGCACCAATACAATGAATTACTCAAATATAAACCCGCATATGTTCACAATGGCTATAACCTAGGTAGCCTAATTATAATACATCATATGGATTTAGTTCTCCATATTAATTATGACAAATAATGTTTATAAACTGTAACAATATGCAAAACTCGTACTATGTCAAAATACTAAATCGCAACATAACGTAAAATGGACACGCCATGAATGACCTTTTTATTTTTACTATCATGTTTAAACACGGTTAAAACTAATAAAATCTACACTCTATAATTTCGGGCACTTCTGTAGGCCAAATTCTAATATTAACATATATAATGCATATTGGAGTAATACATTGGTCAAATAATGCATACTGTATACAAACTATACAGTACACACTGTGTATAGTTAACTACATCATAATCAATATACTAACCAATCTCTTCGAGCACCTGTACGCGGCACCTGAGCTCATCATTCTTCTTCTGCATGTCCACAATCACCGAATTCAAGAACTCTATCTGTTGTTCATAACTATCAGCCGCGGCGGCGGCGCCCACACCGGCCTCGTTATCCGCCTCCTGTAGCCGTCGACGGGTGGCCTCGGCGTTGGCCGCAATCGATTCGCGCACTTTCACCTCCAACTCGTTGAGTGTGGCCTCGAGGGCACGCTTTTCCAACTCCGCCTGCCGGCGGAACTGGTCGATGGCCACTCCCTGTTGCTCCTCCACGTCCCGGAGCCGGTGGGCCCGGTCTTCGGCCAACGCCGCCGCCGTCTCGGCTTTGCCCGCCAGTCGTTCGCACTCGTACTCGAACTCCTGCAGCACTTCCCGGTGCCGTTTGTCCAGAGCTGGTGTGTATGAATAGCGTGTGTGTATTGTATGATGTATTTTTAGTGATGGAGTTTATGTGTGGTTGGATATGTTGTAGTGATGATTGTGGTGGTGGTGGTGGTGAGGGGGTGGGTGCGTATAATCGGGGTGAAAGTAAAATAAATAAATAAATTATAAATGCATTCAAAATTGTATTGTAATAAATCGTGATTGTTTTTGTGTGTTGGTTAGTGATGGTGATTTTGGTCTCTTGCTATTAGTGATATTAATGTATTATTTTTTAACGATATGGTTTTGTGTTTTGTACATTATCAACAAAAAATTAACCATAATAAAAACTTAACGAATAAATTAAATTAAACAACAATTAATCAAAAACAAAAAACTTAAGAAATTGTACGAAACGTAAGCAACAAAATCAAAACAAATTATATTCTATCAAAGAATTTAAACAGAATTTGTGTCAAAAAAATTTGTGTTAATAAAACAGAGAATCGATAACAAGTGAAAGCATTGATAACAGCAAACGTAAGCCAAACAACACGGCTGTCAGGCATAGCCCGGCGGCCAGAATAGTGTTAGTAGTGATCAGCGGCAGTGATGCAGCTGCAGCACTGGTACGATGCCGGGCATCAACTGCTCTTGGTAGTGGTGGTGACCAGGAGCGTTTAGGGTGACCACTGTTATTGCCATTTTCTGCATAAGAAATAAGTACACCATATGACTGATGATGTCGGGGACACATACAGAGCCATAGAGTGTGTGTGAGTTTTGTTAGAGAGATATATACTGATAAGCGACTAACTTAAGTGCACAGTGAACGGGGGGTAGTGTGCGGCCGGTTGGGTATTTGCTTACACACACTATTATGGGCACATGTATACATGGATCAGGGGTAGGTGTGTGTCAAAGTGCTAGATGCTATATGTATCTCAATCAAATAATACAATATTAATTTAGATAGAAATATGCAAATATGTAAATTATCAAGTCAGAATCAAATTAAATAATGTAAATAAAAACACAAAAACATATCAGTTAAAAACAATAATCACTAATACAACACCATTCGCATATTGGACACAGCCAACTCTCGCTAAAATAAAAACAAATCACCAGCAACACTAATCCCATTCATCCAGCTCAATAGCCGGGGTGTGGGAGGGGCAGGTGGGGTCCTATACGTGACAAACAGACACTAATAACCGTTAACTAACCCTCAATGTCATCCCTGAGCTCTTCCACCTTCTGCCGGAGGTGTCGATTGTCATCCTTAAGCGACTGATTCTCGTCCTCCACTTCACGACACGCCTCCCGTTGTTTCTCAATCTCCTGACCCAACTCTTTGAGTGCACTACCCGTGGCCGACGACTCAGTCAACTGTTGCTCAATAGCCACCCGGTGTTCAGCGAACTCATCGCTCATACGTTTCATGTCCTCGCGCAGGGCGTCGACGGTGTCCTGTTTGTCGGCGCACGCCTTCTCCAGCCGGTCGGCGTCGCGACGGTATTTGTCCCGTTCGAGCTCGAGCTCAAACTTCTGGTCCTTGAGGTCCCGGTGCTCCTGCTTTTGGCCGCTCAGCTCCTGGCTCTTCACCGCCAGCTCTTTCTCCATGTCCTGCAGTTTGTACTCCAAGTCGCCTGAAATGTATGATTAATTTAATTAATAATCAGTAATTAGTTTACGATGGTTAAATGTAATGTACATAGGTTCACTGTATAGACTGTAGTGATAACTAAAATACAAAATATAGTAATGCGATGAAAAACTTGATAATAGTTTACGGAAGAAGTCAAACAAGATGGTTAAAATGCAATACTATTTTAAATTGAATTTTTAAACAATAATATGCCCTGGCTAAAACAAAAATAGATTAAACAAAAACAAAAAAATATTTACATTGAAATACAATTAATCAAAAGTTTTCTAACACAGTACTGACAAAGCGCAAAGTATGTATAAAAACAATGGGGTAAAAATACAACATTGTAAATTAAAGTTTGTATATACTGTAATTATAAAATAATCAATTAGATTATATACAGAGATAGATATTTAAAAACTATATTTTGGGTCCCGAAAACAGGCAGCACATATAAATAGCCATGCTTTTTATTAAAATAGACATATTTTTACATAATTAGAGAGAGAGAGAGAGAGAGAGAGAGAGAGAGAGAGAGAACTAACGGAGAAGACTAATAAAACTGCCATATACATATACTAATGTCAATTTATTTAAACATCGTAAACAAAATACGGGGCACACCTTTAGTCATCTCCTGATCCCTGGCCTCTGCGGTCAGCTTCTGTCTCAAATCGGACACCTGATGGCGGAGCTCCTGCAGCGTCTGGTCCTTCTCGTCGCAATCACTGCGGGCTAACTTCAACTCCTGGTCCATATGCTTCAGCTCGGCCTCCATGTCGGCCAACTTGCGCTCAGTCCTGTCCAACAGCGACTTGCGGTCCTCCAACTCAATACTCTGCACCCGGAGCTCATCACTCCGGGCCTCGTTCTCCCGGCGCTTAACCTCCAACTCCTGTTTCCACTGTTTCTCTCGCTGTTGAAACTCTCGCTGTTTGTCCATCACTTCGGTGTTCACTTTGAGAAGTAGGTCTGAGTTGGCGCCCGACGTACGGAGCAGTTCCTCGCACTTTAGGTCCAGCGTGTGGTTCATCGACGAGAGTACAGCGCACTTGTCCTCGGCGTCCCGTCGACGTCGCGACTCGTCGTCGCACTCGCATCTGATTTGCTGTAATTCGCGTTCAAGTGAGTGCACTTCGGCTATATTGTGGGAACAGTGTATAACGTGATTAATTTTTTTGTTTGATTTATATGTGTGGGAGCAGGCTAGCGCGGGCCAGCCGTGTCAGCCCTGGCTATGTAATTTAGCTATGTATACAAATTATCATGCATAAAAATGTATTTTATTCTTGTATTATGTTGTGTGTTAATTTTTAAAATGTTTTTTTTTAATTAAATGTGGTTATTTTAAACGTTATTTAATTAAAAAAAACTAGTAATATTAAATTTAATTAAATATTTACATGCGTTAATAAATATAAATATACAGAAATAAAACATATTAAATAAATTATACATAATAAAACTTTTTGTTAGCACTAATTATAAGTTTAAACTAAAAATTTTATACATTATCACAAATAAATTTCAATCTCTGTACAGTATTAAACAATCAAAAATAAACAAACTAATAAAACCACCTATGTACAATTTAATGTGCAAAATTAACAACTACAGTGTCCACGCAATTAGCATTATAACCATCACCGATACAATCATTACTAAAATGATTATCACAATCATTATTACCTTCAAACTTTTCGTATTTACGTTTGGTCTCGAGTAGGCTGTGCTCGAGCTGCCGCTCGGCCGCCTCCTTGCCGTCGAGCACCGACTCGAGCTCGTGCTTGCCGTCGGCCGCCGCCCGGAGTTTGTCCTCCAGATTCTGGAGCCGTTTCTCTGTGTCCGTCAACTGTGCGCTCAATTGCTTGCACTCGTCAGACAGTTCCTGTTTGGCCGTCTCCTCCCGCGTGATCCGCATGTTTAGCTCGTCTATAGACTCTGTATAGTATAGAATTTATAACCATGGTTAAACAAATTGATATACATTTATTTTATTTAAATAGCCTTAAAGATGACGATATATTGTTGAACAAGTTAATTATTTTCAAAAATTTTAGCTAACTTCGTTAAATAGAAACAAACTAATATAAACTGTAATTGTAAATAATTCAACTAGATTATATGCAGAGATAGATATTTTGTAAATAAATTTGGTGGTAAACGTTTCGCCAATCTAGCTATATTTTTGAATGATGTTAGTGAGAGAGTGAGAGTGAGAGAGAGAGAGAGAGAGAGAGAGAGAGAGAGAGAGAGAGTCAAAAATGACCACTCGCTCACCAATTTGCCTATCAGTCCTCTGTCTAGTGCTGTCCAACTCCTGTTCCAACTCGAGTAACCTCTTCTGACAGTTAGCCAACTCTGTGTTCCTCTTCTCGACGGACGCCTCCAACTGCAACACCGACTCCTCTTTGCGGACGACCTCCTCCTGGAGGCCAAACACTTCCGACTCGCGGCGCTGGTCGGCCTCCCGGAGCCGTTCCCGCAGTGCGTCCACCACTTCGGAGTCCGATTTGGTCAACAGTTCGGCGTCTGATTTCATTTGCTGCCGAATCGTCTCCATCTCGGCCTTCAGTGTCTCCACGTTTGACTCCAACTCTGTCCGCGTGATTGTCTCCTCTTCCAGTCTATAGCCGAGAAAATACGGTATAATTAGCATTGTTTTAATCAGTAAAACTACTCGGTTAAAACTACTCGGTTAAAACTACTCGGTTAAAACTACTCGGGTAAAACTACTCGGGTAAAACTACTCGGATAAAACTACTCGGATAAAACTACTCGGGTAAAACTACTCGGGTAAAACTACTCGGGCAAACTACCCATGCTATAAACCACTGACCCATACACTACTCCACAACCCCTCTATAACCCGTACCTGAACTGCAAGTCCTCCAGCTTTTTGCGCTCGTCGTCCAACTGGGCGTTGAGTTTGCTTTGCATCTCTTCGTACTCCTGGTTGAGCCGTTTCAGCTCCTGTATCTCGTCGTCGGCCTCCTGGACCAGCTTCTGGTGCTCGGACTGGAGTGCAGTCAACTTCTCTTCGAGCTGATCCGCTTGGGTGGCCGCTCGGGCCACTTCGCCCCTCTCCAGGTCGCGCTCTTTCAACAGTTGCGAGATGTGGTCCTCTTTCTCTTTGATCACGTCGTTTAGCGCCGATGAGGTGGCCGTCAACTGTGCCGACGGTGTTTTGCCGCCTATCAATGTCATCAATATGTGTTTGATATTAATATATGGTAGTTTTTATGAGTCTCTCTCCATTATTTTTTCATTCTCTCTCTCTCTCTCTCTCTCTCTCTCTCTCTTTCTCTCTCTCTCTC